CTTTCCTATTGCTGTTATGTTTTATTGTTGTTAATAAAGTTGGTTTGGGTGTACAGCATCTGACCTCATCTGGTCTTAATCTCACTCTTCGGAATGTATCGAAACCTCTCCAACTTTGGATCAGGACAGCATGTTATATTTTTGGATTTGCACTACACTATTTCTATAAATTAATTTTTGTACTTTTCAACTTTCATAAAACTGCAGCAGAGAACTTAATTTCTCATATTTTATTTGCTTCATCTATCTCTCTAAGTTAAAACGATATCATTTGTTTTAAAAAGACAAGTTCACTAGAAGGCTGACACTTGTCTCAACTTATTTCAGAAAGAAAATACTAGAGAGATACATGTAATAAGCAATACAGACTCAAAGATTATGTTTTGAGAAGCTTTCTCACAGCTGTCTTCATCATCATGTATGAAGAATACGATTTGATCATTATTGAAGAAGGAACTGAATTGTTATAGCAATCTCACCCAATGTCAGTAATAGGTGGTTTGTCCTGGCCTCTCTTGTAGCAAAGAAAAAGTTCAGGACTCTTTAGACTTCCATAGTTTAAGTTGGCTTGAAGGGCTGTAGGGGTGGCTTCAATACAGGTGTATCCCTCTGGGACAGTTTCACCAGCTGATTTAATTATCACAGCAATGTCAGTAATCGGAGCCTTTGGACCAGCTGACTTTGTTTCATGTCGGCTTATTTCTTGGTCCAGGAGGGTTGCAGTATCTGTGTCCGTGAGCCCTGCCACTACAAAATAGTCAGCCACTCGTGGACTTTTGTCTTCTATCATGATTATGTCAGTACTTCCTGGGGAAAACAAAGAGAGAAAAATCAAACACTCTGCTTTCAAGCTAAAACCCTTTCCTCAACAAGTATGAGGATTTAAAACCTTTACAGAAATTTCTGTAAATACAAAAATTCCTACGTAGAGGTTTCATGAAAATTCAAGGGAAACTCCAAAACAAACTTTGATTTCTGCTGCTCAAAAATATAGTATTATTGGTAATTGCATTTCAGTTCTAGCACTGTAGCAGTCATGTTTTAGCACAAGGAAGTTTAAGTGACATAAGGAAATACTCAAAGCTCCTAACACAGCAGCTACATAGAAAATTGCTTGGCATTAGCTACCAGACTGTTCAAGCTCTTTCCAGGCTATAAATTAATGCAGGTACCCCTAACTAAAAGCTTCTATATTTTTCTGCCATTGTTTAGTGAGTAATTTGACTACAGAATCGTGCTCTTTTTTCTTTTTTTCTTTTTTTTTCCTTTTTTTTTTTTTTTTGAGAAAGAACAATTCCAAGCACAGGTTCACTAGTTTATCTTCTGAACATTTCATCCATTTTGTTTCATAATCTAGATCTAACAGTGCAGTCTTGAGACATTCAGCTCGTAACTGTAACATCTGGAAGTCATTTACAAAAATCACACATCCAAACCCACATTTTATCAGCTGATCAGGCAGCACACATCACTGCTCAGCTGCACATTCCAGATCTGGAAAGAGCTGTTCTCCCAACGCTAGTGATGTTCACTAAGCATATCATTTTAAAGCAGTGAAACACAAGTTCTATTAAGAGCAAAAACAGCTGACAGACTATACTCAAATATCACACGTATCCAATCTCATGGAATACCTATCTTTTTAAAAGTTGAGTGAGAAATACTTAAACAGTAGTAGCCAAGCAATAAACCTGAATACTGTTATACCCCTTCAGGGAGCTAGGGACCCCCTTCTTTTAGATCCTCATGTTTCCATCACCAGATTTCTGGGGATCCCATCTAGAAAGGTAGCCAAGAATGGAAGTCTGGTTCCTGCCTTTGAAAACGAGACTGCTAGAGCTGCTAAGGTCTCACCTACCAAGGAGTGGTCCTCCATGGGTATTACCACATAATAAGTACACCAAAACTGAAGTTTCTTGAATTTAGAATGTCCTAGTCTGACAACTGCAAAAACATTGGACCCTGTTAACAGAAAGGTGGTTTGGTGGAGACAGTATAATCCTGCTCCCTGCAACATGGTCTCTCCTCCTGTTCTTACCCTGCTATTTCTTATTGAAACTATACTGAAAAGGTATTTTCCATCTTTACACTTTAAAAGACTTCTAAAACTTGTTATGAGAAGTGTTCCAAGTAGTCAGCTGAAGAAAAATATCAGTTATTCATTCTGAATGCTCACTAAGAAATCCTAGCACAAGATTATGCAACTAAGGCGCCAACCACTATATTGCAAGGTACTGTAGCAAGAGAAGAAAGTAGGGAGGGGAAGGGAAATAACTTCATGCAGATTTGTAGTACCTCTATACTCCAATTAACTCATTTTTTTTTCCTGACACTGAAATGACACCTTTTCAAACCCTTTCAAACATGAAAGAAGAGTACCTATACCCTTTAAAAGCCTCTACTGCAATATTTTTCCACAATGTTTTTCACAACATTACTTCAGTGTTTTCTAAACACCTTGGCTAACAGCTTTTGCAGGGCAATCCACAAACAGAGATCCTGGGAAGAGAAATAGAAGTGCCTGGCTCCCCTGAAAAGAGGAAAGCTACTCACATGACTGGTTTTCAGGCCCAAAATATACGGATGCTGTTTCAACAGGAACAATAAAAGGTTTATTCAGTTTGTCAGGTATTCAGTGCCTAGGTCTCCTGAAGGACAAGAAAATAACTCCAAAGCCATAGCTACTTGTGAAGCTTCTGAATCGCTTTCAACTCCAGAACTTACAGTGGTTTTCCCTTTTTACTGTCACAAACAACATGAAATTAGTGATAAAGCCCTTTACGAGTAAGCAAGTCATCAGGAAATGCAGGAGTAATGGCTTCAACTTAATCTCATATAAATCAGACTTTCTGTTAAAAGGTCCCTCCCTGATACCGCCACTGCTCATTCCCACCTTAACTTTCGTCCAGAACTATAGTTTGTGCAACCACGAAATGAACTGGAAAAAGGAACTGCTCTGGTTGAACACTAACCTGGCAGCGACTGATTAGTGTTCAACCAGAGCAGTTGTCCAATGATTCACCACAACAGCAGTATACCCCTTTCAGCAGCAGCACTGTCTTGCACTGGATTAATCATAAATCGTAAACTCTAAGATCTTTCAGTTTGCCTCTTAGATGCTTGGACTTGCTCACAGAATTATAAAAATAAATAAATTTAAAAAATAAACCAACGTCTCCCAGCTCCTCTTAAAAGAAAGGAAAGTCCTGAGCTAGAATATCTTGTAATCTGAAAAGCACTGGTTGCACTTGCCATATGTGAAACCAAATTAACAGAACAACTGCTAAAAATAGCGAAGTGGTTGGCATCACATAAACGTTCTTCAAAAAACAAAACCTTTGTTAAATGATCCAGCTTTTTATTACCTGCTACATGTTCACACAGCTCAATATCATGTTCTCTCAACGCAACATTAAAATCATTGCCCACATTCACTTTTAGTACACAGAGCAGGAAATAAAACAGTAATGATAACAGCATAAAATGTCAACAATCTCAAAATAGTTCGTATTTTTAATCATAGCTGTAGTTCCTGGAATTGTGCTAGTGTCATACTCAAATGTTTTTTAAAACAAAAATTTAGCATTCCTTGGTAAATATATGGAAAAAAATTTAAAAGGACCTGAAAAATTAAATACTAAGATTTGGATTGTTAGAATGCAAATGAAGATAATTAATTCCCAAATTTTTACCAGTGGGGATAAATAAAACTGTACAATTGGTTGCCAAGGAGCATACACTTACGATTTTATGTTTTTCTCTTAGCCATGGCTGTGTTTTACTTCACAGAAACTCTGTGTAATATGTGACACGGAAAAGTCAGAGTCACCAGACAATTCAGCTGAGAAACTTGGCACACAAGTCTCATATGTCAGCACAACATTTAGAGAGTTTTTCAAAATGTTTTGAGTCTCTCAAACAGTTCCCTTCCTTTTCCAAAAGGATAACAGAAGTAAGGTTGCAAGTAAGCACTACAACTCAGGTCTTCAAGAATTTGTTCTTCAACTTCAGAAAGATTTAAATCAACAGGATTTCTCAAAAGAGACCTTAAAGTAATAGCTCTTAATTAAGCCATTGTTATCTTCTTTAATGCAATAGCTTTATAAATATGAATAGACACTAAACTATAAATTAGCAGATAGCCACCAAAACTATAACAAACAGTAGAATTCAGTTACTCAAAAGATACTTTGCCTTATGAACTGCAGGAAAATATTATGATTTGTGGGGGAACAACAAGAATCCACTGCAATTTTCTACTATTTTTGTGATACCTTACACAAGAATAAGTATGCATGCTGCTCCCCCCATAGACAAGGGAACAAACAGTCTTCTAAGAGACCTTCTATCATAAGTTTTATCACTGCAACTTTAAGAGATACTGTCCTCTGTCACTCTTCTATGAGTATGTTCCTGTACATCGCAAGATCAATATGAAAACTCAACATTTAAAAAATATTGGTGTTTTTATTATAACAGCCCATTCCCTTGCAGGACAAAACCCAAATACAAAAAAATTCTAAAAATAGAACTGTTACCTTGGTGTTAGATGATGAAAATCTAGGATACATTGAAAAAAAAAAGCCATCATATAAGTATCATGAAAGATCTTTTTTTTTGAAGTTTACAAAGATACATCAGGTTCAGTCCAATAAGCCAAAAACAAAAATTCTGTTTTAAGAACATGAGCAATACTCTTCGAGGAATTACAAACCTCCAAGTCCATACAGCTCCATAAAGGCTATGGAGAAATTATTTAAGTGAAGTCAGTTTTACAATTCATTCATAGGCCACAATAGGAAAATTTGCTATGAGCGGTTTAGGACCAAAATGATTTTTTGAAGAAAAAAAATGTTCTAAATATCTAAAAATATTTTATTCTTCAGTATTTTATTCTTTTAAAAACCCCATGCTTTCCTAAAAGGAATTCCCAGTGGAAGTAATTAGCTTTGTATATGAAAAACAAAAACAGCCTGCACAGACAACACTTAAAGGGACTCAGTACGACAGTCTAAGTCAAGAGATCCATTTAGGAAAAAAATACACAGGAGAGGAGAAAAAAAAAAAAAAAAAACAACAAACTTTTCACTGCTAAACACCAGGAATATGGCAAAGTGTTCTCCTCTCCCATAGTCCATTTAAGGTTGACCTCTCTAAAAAGACAACAGCCTTTCTCACAACCACAATGTAATTTTACAATTCTTTCAAAATGTTACATTAAAAATCCAGCAACTCAACTATTAGTTTCACATAGGCCATAGCCCTCTCTTAAGAAGAGATTTCACAGTGAAATTGCCTTGGGGAAAACATTTCCATTCTAATGATCACTTTTATGAATTTTGAACAATTATGAAAAAAATACATTATTAGAAATTGCTTCAGTTTATTTGCTGTCTAAAACACCAGTCAGATTTTTCTTTCAATATAGCTAGACAGCAATTTCCTCTGTTTTAAGTCAGATGAACCACAACAGAGTTGCTCTTGCAAAGATATAAAAAAAGTAAGGCCAAGCTACAAGCAGCCACATGAAGTAAAGACGACAATATAAGTAAGTATTGTATTTATATTTTATTTCATAGCAATGTTGCTTTTATCACATAGTTACAAGCTTTTCAATTCCAAAATGGAGATGACTGTAATTTAAAGTTCTCAGTCTTTTATTTACAGAGCTTGCAACAGCTGGCAACTCCTATTCTGCAGATAAAGTTTTCTTCTGCGTTACCTGCAAAACACAGGAAAAGGAGACTTCTCTAACACATATTAATTTGTGGAAGTCTGCTTCAGCTACCTGACAAACTCTGAGTAAT